ACTAGTAAGGCACCTGTTACTACTAGCGTGGCACTGGTTTCTACTAGCTTCTTGTTACTACAGTACTAGTAAGGCACCTGTTACTACTAGCGTGGCACTTGTTTCTACTAGCTTGAATTTCTTGTTTGGACACCAATATCTCTGAGGTCCCTGCACGCTGGACAAAAGGCTCTCTCAAAGTATCAGCTGCAGTCAAGCGGGTCGGCCGATCCTCCGCGTCTGGTGCGAGCCGCTTCAAAACGCAAAAGGCTTCAACGGATGGTGCTAACGCCTTTGGTTGCTCTTGCGAGCAGGAACGGGTCAAGTCTTCTCCTGCTCAAGCATCTTGAGCACCATTGCTGTCGCATCAGAAGGCGCATGCAGTATCCGTTCCTTTGCGGAGCATTGTTTTGAGGAACTTGAGCCGTTTTGGCCACATTCAATGAACAACAACTGCACGAAAGGACCGTTTCTGAGATACAAACCATGCGTGGCCGTGGCTTGGCATCCCAAAAGGCTTTCGCCTCTTGCTTGCTGCCACCTCTGCACTTCCAGGCGGCCACATCACCGTCACATCGACTCGCATTCGGACGTCGTTCCAGGAGTCGGACGGTACTTGAAGTCCCATGGCATTTGGAAGCCTTGGCAAAGCTACGACGCAGCTCCTTGAATTGAAAGAAAGGGCTCTCTCGAAACTACTGAACAAGTTGAATTGAAAAGGCCGAGAGGTAAAAGGGTCTCTTGGCTGATGGCTGAGCATCTCAAAGAGCACACACCCACAGCTGAAGACATCTGCCTGTCAGGCACATGAAATCTGGCCATGCTCCAACCTGAATGAAGACATCCGCCTTCGGCGTGATTTCTCCACGCCACACTTCAGGCCTTGCCGACTGCTTTCGACGGGTCTGCAAGCGCCATGTGGCACCACGTTCGTGATCAGAAACAAGTATATCGTTCATGTTGTCTATGAGGTGCAGGCGCCATAGTGGCTGGTGTGCCCATGGGATTGCCACGCTTGAAATTTCCAGGCTGAAAAATTGTGGCCTGCCAATGATGAATGATGCAGCTAGGAGCAAGAAGCTACTAGGTGGAGGCCATCGCCATTAGGTTGAAGGCCATCGCTACTAGTAACAAGAAGCTACTAGATGCAGAATGATGCAGAGTCGAAAGGAACGTTGAAATTTGCTCAGTCCCATGCCACGCCCAAATCGATGACCATCACATGAGGAATCCTCAGGGTGTGAAAATAAAGGTCAACACTAGAAAGCAAGCTGCAGCGCAAAACGGAACAACTCTTACGAGGTAACAACTCAAAAATAACAAAAATAAATCAAATAACACTACACAACGCCTTTGTGAGTCTCTTGTCTCCACACAATCATTTCTTGCAGCACAAGCTTCTCTTTGAAAATGTTGTTGGAGCTTACATCCTGCAAAACCATGGTGATACACAAATTTGGAATGGGCAAAATACGACACAATGTTGAGTTCATTCGAGCACACTACTTAGTTGGTCTCTGTTTGTCCTGACTGTGCTCGGCTTGCAGAAACTGCGCTTTTGTCTCCAAGGCAGGCATAAGCCTAAAATGAGATATTTTCACACTTCATCCTGTCTTGATGGGCCTGACAGTTGACGTCCAAGGGTCTTGGCATGATGTTCTGCGACTTGATGTCCAAATGGATAATCCCGTTGGCATGGATATGAGTAATAGCTGACAAGACCTGAGATCATTCAAGCGTCTCGTGTCTGGCGACATGTTGGCAGCCATCGTACCACAGCAATCATGGCCTGCTGCATCACGTGGGCAATCCACACCTGGCTCTCATATCTCAAGGGACCTTTCCAACACGAATAGAACTTTGTACAATCGACCTCCGGGATGCGCTTCCGTGACTCTCGGGCATCACCTGAAAGCAGTGGCTAGTGGGCAACATCCACACTCTGGATTTGAGGCAGCAGCTAATGTGCTTGTGCAATTCGCCGCGGGAGCAATGATCTGTGACCTGGCAGTCTGGTTCAAACTCAGGTTCAGGAATGCATATGAAAGCTGCTTGGGTGGAAACCATCATGTTTGCAAATGTTGAAGATTGAGTTGCAACAAGGAACTTAGTAATACCTTTTGATATGTCAAATGGAATCACTATTGCTTGTGGCAACCATGTGGCCTTTTAATTGGTTACACCGTGTTCGAAGATCCACGCCTATATTTCATTGAAAATTATGGCAGTGGCGAATTTGGGTGATGTCTTACAAGAACGAAAATTGTTGAGCGTTGCACATGTCTCAGGGTTTCCACAGCACCTCTCCGACTTTTTGAGGTCAAGATGGAATGTTCTTTGACAAAACCAAAGTACCCCGCAAGAGCAACAGCAACACCAAAAGCGAGCACCAGACAGATCCAAGTGCTCTGCATGCATGGGCTGAGAAGCGAAACTGTGACGGTGGCAGCACATATTATCCTGCAGCTGTATCGTGTTGCTTGCTGCGTGCTGACAAGTGGCTGCTTGGTATGTGTGCTGTCACAGTCCTAGCTTTTGGTTGCTGAGCTGACACTTCGGGCCTGAGGTTGCTGTGTGGCCTTCCCTGCATTTCAACTTGCTGAACATCATTGTCCCCCCCACTCCACCCCACCAGTGCTAAAAGAACAACATCACATCCTGCGCAAAGAAACACATGGCCACAAGCAGACATGCGCCCTCGTGTGGGCGGCGAGGGAGCCGAGAACCAGGAAGAACCACCCTCAAAGTGTAAGGTATATATGATATGATATATATGATATGATATATATGATATATATATACATACTTAATATGCTGGCAACCTTGGAATGATGCCAGCGCACATCACAAGAAGAATGCAAGCTGCAAGTTACAAAGAGCTCACAGGCAAGCAAAATACAACATTGCACTCTTTAGGTGCACAATGTCGAAATGCAACCGACTTGGGTCTCTGCAGAATGTGCCATTGACCGTGAAAAACGTGATTGATAAATGCCGAAGAATGTGCCCTGTTGCAGCTGGATGGGGCTGGATGGCGTGTTCCAGTTTCTTCTAACTGAGATTGGAAGTTTTGCCGGGAACACATTCTTCGTCGAACGAATCTTTGCCAAACACGTCGATTTCACCCACGTCCATCAGTCTCTCTTCCAAGTCTTCTTGGCCGGTTCTTGAGGCCAATTGGCCAATCTTCTGCCAAAGCTCGCACGGTCTTCACGAAGGTGAAGGCCTGCGTCTGCTGCATGACCTTTTGATTGATCGTAGCGGTAGTGAACGCCATGCTCTTCAACTGACTTGGGGCGGAAACGCTCCAGGTACTTCCATGCACTGTCCAAGGCTTGAAATAGCTGCAGCTGTTCTTGCCATGACCCATGGCGCGCCTTGGCAGTTTACTGCCTGCACCAGACTTGGCTGCGCTGCTTTGGGCTCTGAATCGGCTGTACCGCCTATGAATTCTGAGATGGTGCAGTTGAGGTTGCCTATGGTTGTCTCGACAAGTCTTCATTGAACTTGAGGGAATGCGATGAACGAAAGGCGGCGGCAGCAGCAGCAGCAAAGCAAAGTAAAGCAAAGCGCAAGAGAAGAGCGGCTCCGTCGGTTCCTTCGGCTCCGATGGGGGAGTTATCAACTCCACTTGTTTCGGATATACAGATCATTGTGGCAACCGAAAACCCTGCAGCATCCTTTTTGTGGATGTTTTGTTGTTCCTGTATTGCTTGCGAAATGAAGTCCAGGTTTTGAACATACAGCCCGCCCACTCCTATTCAGTATGTATGTGAACCTCGAAAATGGACAATGGCCACCTCTTCAGCGTAATGGATGTTTAGTATTTAGAGCTAGAGCTTGGAGTTCACTCCAATAGCCCAAGGCTACCTTGGGGACAGCATGGACAGCAAGTCTAAGTGACCTGGATCAACGAACTCAAGTGCCAAATTCAGCGAGGATGACGAGGAAAACTTGGTCGTGACTGTTGTAGAATTCCAGAAGCTTGAGCACCTGAAGGAATCTGAAACTGTTTCAAGTTGCTGATGCCCACTGGACTTGAGTCTGAAAGTGCATCACGACCAAGGCCAAAGCATGGGGATGATCAAGCTGGATAAGGTTCTGGATCTCTTGCTTCAGAAATTCCATATCTCCGTGGACCTTCAACATGACAAGCTAGTAGTTTGGCAACAGTCACACGATCAGTCCAAACCTTCTCTTTGTTGATGATTTTGATGGCGCGCACTTGCCTTACCATTTGATCCCATCAGGGCAATCATGTTTCAAGTGCGTCTGACTGGCTGTCACCATTGGCTGTTGCGTATTGCAAAATGTCGCCAAGCCTGGTCCGCTTGTCCTTTGCCTTCACAACTTCACCATAAGTTCCCTTGCCCAGTGTCTCACCTGAGTTGCTACGGTTTCGGTATTGCTACACAGTAACTTGACACTGAGTTGCTACAACTGAGTTGATCATCGTTCGTAAACAGTGTGTATATACGTACATAGTTTGTGGACAATACAAAATACACCAAGTATGCCAAATCAGGAAAAAACATCTCCATTTGCACTGAGGAAACATGCAGTAAACCACCGTTTTATGCTAAATTGTGAGGAATGTGTGGAAGGAAAGGAAGTTGAAAGATTGGCAAGAGCTCTAGAAACTCATTATCCAAAGTTTTAAACGTATGGCTGTGTTGTTTAAACTCAACATGTGACTGGCAAACTCCTTTTTTGACAGTGTAGGGAACAGCAAGGCATCACGGATCATGGATCAAACATGAACAACATTGCTGGCCAAATCCACTGGGTGAGGGACTGAACATCAATCATCAATCTTACAATATCAATCAAAAGGGAAGGGTGTCAAGTCTGCTGGCAGCCTCACAAAACAAGCCACGATATAATATTTATATATATATATACCTGAGAGGCAGAGGCAGGGGACGAAAGCCAGCCTCCGTAAGAAGACATCAATGTGGGTATGGGGTGAATTCCACAGCGCACTGGAACTGCTGTCAGGCATGGAAAAGTAGAAGGCAAAGGCGGAACAGGCTCTGTATACAGGGTTTCGATCGAGGCCCATTAGCGGTTAAAGGGTAGAAGCGGAACCCATGCGTTAGGAAAGAAGTTGAGTTGAGCGAAGGCCAAGCGCCTTTCCATTAGAAACATAGGGGCTTGTCCACTTGCGTCGTCACTTTTTGAATTTTTAGATGCAATATTTCATTTTAAGAGCTCAACGTGGAGGCTTGAGAAGTTTTTTTACTATTTTTATCCGCTGGTTTCTGCCTTCTCCTGCCTCTGCAACTCCCGATCGCAGTCGGCTCCGTGATTTTCGGTGGTCGCTCACCTGTCTCTGGCCACTTGTGCTTCGCGCCCGCGACGCGAAGCGCGAGGGACCCTGGGAGAAATGAAATGACTGACCGGGTTTAATAGAGGAATGAAGTGACGGACAGAGGTTTAACAGAGAAGTCAAGCGACGGACCGGGTTTAATAGAGAAATGAAATTCCGGACCGGGTTTCAGTAGAGAAGTGAAATGAAGGACCGGGTAGAGAAATGAAATGACGGACCGGGCTTAGTAGAGAAATGAAATGACGGACCGCGTTTAGTAGAGAAATGAAGTGACGGACCGGGTCTGATAGAGAAATGACATGACCGACCGGGCTTTATAGAGAAAGCAGATGACAAACCGTGCTTGATAGAGACATAAAGTAGATGACGGACCAATCTTAATGAAATGACGGACTGGGTTAGCAGGGCTCATTAAAAGGGGGACCCCCACTCAAAGCTTGCCGACTGCATTCTGTTCCCTCTCCTGTCCTCAACGGGTGACATCGCCTCTTGCGTTCCCTTCCACTCTAATTCCACAAGAAAGCAGGGTGTTGAGAGACGCACATCTCACTTTCCTGATGGACAATCAGCCACTTTTCCTGTCACGTTCTCCCTTCTTTCCTGTCCTCCCAGCCCTTGTCGACAGACTGTCCAACTAGCCTCCTGAGCCCCTCATGACACTAATGATGCACTCTTCGGCGTCAATTACATACTTGCATCACAACACCCAAAAAAGCATACATGTTCACTGCTTTTCGGACCACCTCTTTTTTTCGCTCTCCCAAAGCAGGCTCTGGGTTCGCCCTACCCAAACTGGCCAGCCAGGTAACCACCCCCTACCACACCCTATACTATACTCACTTCGTTCGCCCATCGACAACTCCAGCCTAGCCTATCGGCGGGCTTTCGAAATATATATATATATACATCGGAGAAATAACGATGAATGTTGGGAAATGTTCAAAGAAATTGATATCTCACAACATCCTGAGGTTCTGCCTCAGCTTGCTGACAACCATTCGGGAGCATTTGTCTACTCCACCAAAATTGGTGGTATATAGATTCTATGTATGCTTCGTGGGACGCCGAAATGTTTCGTGTGCATTTAGTATGAAACTTCATTCTCTGGGTGTTCTGCAAATCTCGTATCTTGTCGTCGGTGTTCCAGAAATTGCAGTCTCGGCCACATCTTTCTGCAAGGCCTTCGAATGGTCAATGCTCATAAACAACAATTGTGAAGAATACATAAAGAGGCTTCTTCGGTGAGGCAGTCTTTTCCAGTGTCCTGTACAGACATGTCTTGCTGAAGGTGTGCGATGTCCCAAAAAAGGCCACGGAAATCTTCAAACCTTGGAAACTGGCTCATAAGGTCAAGAGCGTTGCCAAGACTTTGCATACCACCAGGAAACCACTCCACTTGCCAAATAAATGAGCTGCGGGCGTCAAATAGTTCTGGGCTTGAAACTTGACCTGCTCTCACCAAACAAACTACGCTTATCTTGAAAGGATTCAGAACTCTTTTGCACTACTCAAGTTGAAAACAGGCAAACTGGCCTTCAAATGTACTTGGCATCCCAGTAGGCCCACAAAGTGGTTCACCTTCTCCCCCAAGGAGGTGACTTCTTCTCCACGTTGAACTCAGTTCTTTCAGAGCTCACGGGGGTCACCTGCTTCACTCACATCACCCGTGTCCGGGAGGCCGGCTGACATCCGTCTTGACCCGTCCGATTTCATGGAAAAACCTGCAGGACTTCTACAGAAAGCATCCAAAGGATTCCAAAGCTGTGTTCAGTTCATGCAGCGCCTCTCGGCTTGGGCTTCCAATTCAACGTTCGCAAGCATTTTGTGAACAGCTGACACCTCCCACAGAATGAAGTCAAGATCACGAGGGAGCACAAGATACATATATATATATATATACAGTGTATAAATATAGGAAATGACCAGCCTGGTCAGGCGTTGGCATCCTTCGAGGGCGAACCCTCCATTGGTCATGAAGTCGGAGGGCCTGAAGTCGGAGTTTCTGAGATGAAACTGATGGGTTTCGTGTCATTTTGGATCACTTTTGTTTTGGCGGTAGATCAGTGGACCAGGGCTTTTTGTAGATGACAACCCGAAAGCTAAACGCTAGGATTGCTGGAAGTTCGGGGAGGCGATAAGCGTTCTTGAATCAAGTTTTTCCCCGAAGAACCTCGCAAAAAATGAAGTTCCTGTTGGCTGCAGCAACTTGGCTTTTGTGGAAGATTGTGTAAGGCTCAAACTGTTCCTGGCTTCACATCCAAGACAATGCCGCCTGACCTCGGCCAATGGGCATGCTGAGATTCAGATACGCTACAACAACTTCCCAAATGGGATCTGGACTCGGGATCCACATCCAGAATGCAAGCTGGAATCCAGCACCTTAGTCTTATTCAGAGTCGAAATGCAAAATAACTATAATAGCTTTCACTTTCTAAACAGAAAGCGGCATGGCATCTACAGTAAACAGCACGTCTTTGGCCTTCCCAGTGGAATCTGGAAGCGACAGTCTGTCGGCTTTGCGGGCTAGATCATACAGGTAGCGTTTTAGTGTTTTGCGAATGAGAACGAACGTGACATGACAAGCCTTTGAGCACTTCCCACATAACCCTTTAACTACATATAAATGCTTGCGAGGCACTGATGGTACTCGCTCCAATAGTCCACCTTGTCGTGCAAAACTTGCAACTCTCAGTAATCATTTGCCGGAACAAGTCTTATCTCAGCTTGGAACCCACTCACCATTGACTTTACGGAATGGCTCCATCACCCGAATCTGAACAAAATGAGTTTTGAGGAGTTTGTGATGAGGAGTTTGCAACACAAGAAAACTGCGAGGCTCTGGCAGCTTGCTGCGCTTGCTGCACTTGCTGCGCTTGCTTTACTTGCATTTGCTGCTTGAGCTTCTGAGCATGATAGCAGGGGACGTGCTGCGCTGGCCTGCAGAATTGCACTTGGATTGGACTGCGACTTTGGCCGAACTTGTGAGCAAAAAATGCAGTTTTCACTTTCAGCACCAAAGCTTGACCACATTCCTGCAGCACAATCTGAGTCTACTACTGGGGCAAGTAGCTCTGTCGCAGGTTTGGCCTTGGAGTTGGAGGATACCAAGGTCAGGAGTTGTGAGGAAATTACGCAGATGGATGACGATGCATGGATCATCTTGTGACTTGTCAATTTGAGCGCCACACTATGATCCTTTAATCTCCGCAAAGATTTAGCAACCATTTCGTCCAGCAAGAGTTCTACTGCAATCTTGCAGGTAGTGGTTTCCGGTTACCACCCGCTTGGCTACCTCTCCTACCTCCCTGAAACACCCCCACTTACTACCCTCGCAAAAAAAGAATTATCAGGCCAGGGTAGAAGCCAAATAGCATGTGGGGCACCCTGCAGCACCGGCACCCAGCCCCAAAAGGGCACACTGCCTTCGGCAAAAGCACCCTGCAGCGGCACCAGCACCCAGGCTCCGAAGGACACACTTGAAGTAAGAACCCCAATAGCTCTCGCTATCTGGGGAAAAAAAAACAGAAAACGGTTCTTGAAGTGAAGCAACTTGTCATCTTCAATTCTGAGAAAGTCACACAGGAGTAGCACTTCGAGCCTAAGGCAAGAGTCAAAATAGAAGTCCTCTTACCAGTCAATGCATCTCAATGCAGAACAACAGTCCTCTCTTTTGAGCAAAGCCGAAATCAGAATCAGCACAAGTGAGAAATATTGAGAAATCGTCTTGAGACTACGTAAAGTCAGCTCACTTCGGTGAGCCGGCACGGCAAATCGTCAGCCGAGTTGCAGGACTGCTTAAAACAAATCTCCTCCCCAATTTCTGTCCTTCCATTGCTGCAGGCTAGACTTGTGGTGTCTCTGGTACCATATGAGAAACTCTGGGTAGGCCTGGTCTGCTTGTGTAACAAATTCTCGGTATGATGCAAAAAGCCTTTCCCGGTCCGCAAGCACAGAGTGGTACTGTCCGCCTTTGATCTCTTCTGAAATCTGTGTCGAGTCATAATGAAACTGTGAGTCCAACTTTCGAGCTCGGCCAAGCGTCACCCGGCACAGCAACATGCAGCACATCCCACCGTGGTCATGGACCTCGGTATGTTCTGCAGGCTCGGAATACATGTCTGCCTTTGAAGAGCATTCGGTGAAATAAATCCCAGCTCCAAAGGCCGATCCATGAGTCAATTTATGATCGTCGTCAAAGCCATCCTCAAGAATGGACATGACATTTGCTGCTGAAGTCCCATGGAATAACCAGTGCTCATTTGCACCTTGCGACAGTGGCAAAGGAACATGCGAATCTGTGACGATCTCACAATGCGTTGTGGAGTGTGCAAAGTGCTCATTGGCTTGTCGAGACAACTGCAAAAGAATATTCCTGCGCGTCTTCACATAACGCTCCCAAAGATCATCATGCAATACACGCTCCACTTCCACAACAGTGAGGCTATCAGCCTTAAGCTTTACATCCTTGCGTATAAAGGTACTGTGAATCAAATCCGACATCCATGTCAACATTACTGCATTGACAAATGAATGCTCGCCGATGCGAGCTCCAGCACGGAAAAGAAACATCTTCACCTCAACCTGTCTTTCTGTGAAGCTTGCATGTTGGTTTCGAAAATGAAGCTGCAACACCGCAGTCCCTTCACATACAGGTGTCTGGCCATGAAAGCTCTGCCCGGTCTCATGGTCCAACTCATGCGATCCATCATCGGTCAACAGGACAGCCTTCACGTCGATTCCAGGCCCTCGGTCCTTCATCGTCACTATCCAATGTGCCCCATCATCAAAAAAGCGTGCTTCCACTGTAGCTGAAGCTCCAGGTCCCAGTTTGAAAGACCAAATGCGGCCACGCCAATTCTGTTCTCTGGATTGAAGAGAGGATCTAGCTGAAGGCACATGAGGTATGGGCTTTAGTTGCACCAAATTGCTCAGAGCAACCCAATGTGAACGGGCTTTGCCCCACAAGGTGAGATCTTGAGGGCTCGAGATGCTGCTGGTCGCAGTCCCTGCAGTGCTTTTTGTCGGCGACCTCCTTCTTGGACTTTCAGGACTGCCGATGTGCCGTCCTTTTCGAGCGGCAGAAAGTGATCGATTACCACCTTTATGTCGATGCTCTTTTGACCCCAACAAACAGGCTGAGCAACATCCAGCAAGGAAGCTTCCCAAACAAAGCAGTGCACTTTCAGCCATTGCAAGACTCGTAAACATTTGTCGAAAACTACTCTGCTCAAATCATGTTGTTTTGTTGAGTGATGTTGAGTGTACTTTGGAGGGAATATAGACAAGTGAAAAGGAAAACCTGCCCTGCCACCCATGTAACAAGTGCTTCCTCTAGACTCTAGATTCTACATTGCTCTTCACTTACATTTTGTGAGCCACACTGTTGATGCTTCTCCCTGCTTATGAATCAAGCTGCACCTTTCAACCCTCTTTCGCAACTGCCAAAAAACATTCAGAAAAGTGACCTAAGCTTTTGACAGGCATTGCAGTGAAGACGGTACCTTGCCAACAAACTGTTCAAATGAATGGATTTGCTACAATTCAGCCGCTTCATCCAAGGGCAGCACGAGATTCCACAACTCCGGGTCAAAGCGGCGCGTTGAAGAAGTGGCTTGCTTGAGCACACAATTGTTTTGTTGTTGATTGCTTCAAGCTTATCTGCATGGCTTCAAAACCTTAAAACTCTCAAGACTTAAGCACCAGTAAACAAGTCCCCAGTTGAAAGTTGAAGGCAGTTGCACACATCCATTCCTTTCAGCCTTCATACCAGTTGCAAGCACTCCCTGCAAGCAAACTCTTCACCCAAAGTATCTCCTCCGGGAAGTCGTCTTGGACTCTCTGTCCCGCTGTACACCTGGCTGAGAAATCAAACTGACTACTTGGTTCAATCCAGCCAAAATGACCTACAGTGCTGGGAAGGCCGTTCGTAGACTTCATTGCAGGTGTCGTCCTGCCCTGTCATAATGCTTACGCATCTTTTTGCCACAAACACCTCGAAATCTTCACAAATCACTCGTTCCTCTCTCCGGCAGCCGGATGGTCTTGAGCTCCACAGGCTCTGTATCAGCAACCTCACATTTAACAAGCTTGTGACCAGTGCCAGCTCAACTAAGCCAAAGGTCAAAACCGGCAAGGCTGCATGCGCTAGGTCTGACCTTGTTGCTTGAAAACATGAAACTAGCAGAGCAAAGCGAATTGGAAAGTCGACAACCGAATTCAGTGGATGTTTCGCTGTTTCGATTCTCTGAGAGGACCGACTTCTATGCCTCCTGGTCCTACTACACTGGTTTACTTATTGCTCAGCTTGACCAAGGCCCACACCATGTCTCCATGAACAACTGTGACCTGGTTGACCTCTATTCAGGAGACAGGATGAATGGACGATACTGACAGGTTGCTGCAATGCCCAAAAAGGCATCCATTGATGCATACAATCATTCAGTATGCTGCTGATCAAATCCTCTGGAATCATTGACGTCCAGCTTCAAGGACCTGGAAGCAGGTAAAGGTGTTGTGGCATGTCACGCCACTGCGGCCGCACAAGAGTCTCTTTGCCAACATGCCGGACTTGCATATCCTCACCCAAGTATCTCAACACCTCAGTGAAAATGCTGACTCATTCTAGCTCAGGAGTTGTTGCAAAGCCCAGGCACCTTGGCATGAAGCGGTGACAGTTCAGATGGCGATATGCCCTCTTCACCTTCTGTGTGTCTAGCAAGGATCTCTGGCATGACTATGTATTTCGGGTAGCTTTGCCAGCCCCAGAACAAAGTGTTCCAGAACTGAAAGCAAGATTGCTTTTGGGCATACACAATCACGCCGTGCCTTTCCACAACCACTCTGAATGAAGGCATAACCTTGGCGGTGGCACAACAACCAATAATCAACATATGTGTCATGATAATATCTTCCAGTGAGTCGTTCAGCCATCGGCGGTGACGGGTCCATTCCAGGCATAAGGAATTAAGCACATTCGAGTCTTGAGGTTTCACACCTTGGCGTAAGTTAAAGCTTTCACGTGGCTTTGACCTGTGGGAACTGAGACCTTTGGATTGTTCCAGCAATTCTTGACCTCTTGACTTTGATTGCTGCTGCTTACTTTAAGTCATGAGTTGAATGCCTTTTTGCTGCAACATGTCAGGAGCCAAACATGTCTCTTTGCTGCAATGTGTCTCGAGCCAAACAATAAGTCTAATCAGCATGATATACTATATACATCTGCGTGTATGTATATATATACAATGGCATCATTGTTCGGTTTCAGCTATATAATGAAAGTGAGGTTTCCAGCCAACAAGGTTGCAATGAAGCACAGCATGTTCGGGATGTACAGTCAACGAGTCAAACAAGAAACCTTGCAAGAAGCTCTGTGCGCGTTGCTGGCTTCTTTTGTTTCATCTCCAATCCTTTACGCGTGTTGTCAGGCCTTGAGTATCGGGCTGCCTCTGAGCGCTCCTCTTCCAAGAACAGAGTGCGTCCAAACTCTTGGCTCAAGTGCTTGCAGCCTCGGCTCATGATTCTCCAGGTACGTCAGTCGTTGATCCTTTGGTTTGCAGCCTTCCAATGACCCCAACGGACTCAACAATGGTCCTCCATTCCCGCAATGTAGGGGGAGTCCAGGAGTTGTATAGCTTAAGTAGCATGTCCAGGCTGAATATGTTTCAGAGCTGGATGGTGCGAGTTGATGTAGCCAAGCAATAAAACAAAGACGTCGTTTTGCAGCATCTCTATGGGGACTGGTGACCTGCCCGACAGCCAAGGGTACAGCTCCACATCACTCTTCTGAAGCAGCTGTGCCAAAAGCTCTACCTGCTCATCATTGAAGTTGTGCAGGCTTCTCTCAACAAAGTTGCTGAGCACAAGGTTCATCTCCATCCAGTCCCGATTTCTTGACTTCCAAAGCACCTCGCTTCTGGCGGCATCAAGCAAGGAAAGCTTGCAAGTGACCGGCTCTGCGCGAATGCCAACCGCTCGCGAGATTCTTACCAGCCTCGGCAGTCTTTTACCCCAGCCACTCCACATGGCAGTGAGCTCCGGGTCGTTCCGCTACATCCTCTACCCGGAGACTCTACCCCATTCTCCAAATGAGTTGTGAAAGGTGCATCAGTAAAAATGGTGATTAACGCTCTTGATACAATAGGCTGGCCACTTTGAGGTCTTACTCACAACAAGCAGATTTCTTGGAATGAGTTTGCTGCTTCGGTTTTGGAGAGGGCATGAAAATTTGTCGCTTTGCTTGCGCAACATGTGCAAAAAAAACTTCCACCTGCCACTCGCATTTCTGGCAAGACAAAAGGTCGAAGCTATATTGATAGGTCAAGCAATCACCGAAGCCAGCCGCCAGGCTGACCAGGGCTCAAAGCGCGCTGCTTTGGTTCAAAAGAATTCCATAAGCGGGTAAGCCTCTCCTGTTGGAAAATGATGCACTCAGGCAAGAGTTTGTACAATCCTTCACCTGATGATCAAAAAAGGGATTGCAGGCAAAAGGTGAAGTGCTAGCACACGCCCGGCACCACTGGACATGACCCATGTCTCCAGGCCTGTAGAAGGAGGATAGCCTGTGTCCAGGATTAGCCTGAGCATCAAAAGTGTGTAGCTTCATCCACCAAAACCAGCTATATATGATGAATTTAGCGATGATGCATGGGTGTATGGACGGGTGTACAAATGGGTGTCGGGGTATATCAGTACATCCACCCGTACACCCGTACACTTGCACGTACATATACAATACCAAGACACAAATTTCAATATTATGTTGATCTGTTTCTCAAAACTACCGTGGGACCTATTCTTCTATGTGTGGGACCAGCATGCCCTTTTACAATCCCTGAAAATTGACAAATGATGAAGCGTCTGTTGCGGTCAAATGTTGTGGTTCAGGACCCCTCCACCAACACAACTTTGGCAAGCCTCGCTGCATCCCTCAGTTTTGGTTGTTATTCCAGCTAACGCTTTGGGGAACCAGCGATGCTGGGCAGTGCAAGGAGTTATATTGGGCACTCGGCGAAGAGTTTTCTTGTCTCAAGCAACCCAAAAATCAGGCAACATGTCCACAACCGCTCAGATTGTCCGAATCAAAACAACGTTTCCCTCTTGCATGTTGCGAACACACGCTTCGCAAAAACACAAAAACACTGTAAACTAAATAAAGGCTTTTTGAGAAAGGGTGTCCCAGTCAAATCCAAACCAAAGTCGACGAAAATACTTTGTTGGGTGTGATACGGCTTTTGCACGTAGGAAGAAGACACAGGCACCTCGGCAAATGTTGTTTTTTCCTTCCACTGATGCTCTTCGAGACGCGGGTCTGGGGAGTTGTCACCCGTGTCACACCAGCCAGATTGTCCAGAATGGTAAAGCAATGGTGGAAGGTCTCGACCAGGAACACGCCAGACCATGCGTGATGTCGGGAAAGTGATGCATGCTGATGATGATGATGATGATGATGATGATGATGATGATGATGATGATAAGGGCCATGAGTGTTCAGGCTCTGGTCATGCCCAATGGCCAGTGCTAGTGCGGCAACTCCCTGCCATGGCGGCGGCTCTTCCACGGTGGAGCCCTGCGTGACTTCCTTGCTGCTCTGGCTACTTCTCCTGTTTTTGACCTACCTGGTCGGTTCTACCTGCCCGGGATTTCGATTCTGGACTTCAAGGAGGTTCTCCCAAGGTCACAGGAAGAGCCCTGACACTCACCGGGGTCCCAAGTCCCCGGCCAAGGCAAGCACCCTTCTTTTTGTTGGGGTTTCTTTTAAGATCTTCTTCGAGCACCACATGATCCAGCTCAACCCGCACTTCTTGTCTTGGAGGCCCGAGGGTTCCGAACCTGCCACGGGGTTCGGGGGAGCCAACATAGATTTGGCCCTGAAACTCCCCTCTATGGCGAAGCTTAGTGGCCTTGGACCTACTCATGCACATCTGGAACTTCCAATACCTCAGCAACTATCTTTGTGCACCCTTACGAGCTCATCTTCATGGGCACCAGTGGCATTGGGGGATGCCCCATTTTCGGGGCTCCTGTGGCAACCGGCAACCCACACACAATGCCTACATCCACAGTGGCCTCACTGGGAAGGTTGGTGACACTTCAGTCATCATCCGGAGGAGTTCTACTCTGGTCTACCTGGTGGCCTTCTGCTGGCGGACTCGACTACCAGGCTCATACCACAGGCAGCAGGTGGCTCACTAGCCACTACCATGACGGAGAAGCACGAATTTTTGGGAGTTCAAATGGGACTCAACAACCTTCAGGGGGACACGGAGCTCGCCTGCCATTATGCTTCTGCACGGACATCCCTGGAAAAGAGCGCAGCTGTCTTTTTTGGACGCACCGATCTCCTCTTGGGGGGGCAATTGCGGCCTCATGGTTGACAGTCAAGGCAAATCTCTCGACTCAGCCGGAGGCGGTGACTTCATCTATGAATATGCCATTAATTACAACTGGCATGGACCTGGGCTGTTGTGCCTGGACAACTTGTACAACTTTTTCCTTGAGAACCATCCCTACCTTTGCCAGTGGCTTGGGGTGATTGCTCGGTTGTGGAGTTGGTCACGGGACATTGACGACACCTTCCTACGGTACCTCGAACCAGATGGCAAGATGCCTGTC